TTTTAGTTCTTTGTAGATTCTGGATATTAGCCCTTTGTCAGATGGGTAGATTGCAAAAATTTTTTCCCATTCTGTTGGTTGCCAATTCACTCTAATGATGGTTTCTTTTGCTGTACAGAAGCTCTGGAGTTTAATTAGGTCCCATTTGTCTATTCTAGCTTTTGTAGCCAATGCTTTTGGTATTTTAGTCATGAAATTCTTGCCTATGCCTATGTCCTGGATAGTTTTGCCTATATTTTCTTCTAGTGTTTTTATGATGTTAGGTTTTATGTTTAAATCTTTGACCCATCTGGAGTTAATTTTAGTGTGAGGTGACAGGTAGGGGTCCAGTTTCTGCTTTCTGCACATGGCTAGCCAGTTTTCCCAACACCATTTATTAAACATGGGGTCCTTTCTGCATTGCTTGTTTTTGTTGGGTTTCTCAAATATCAGATGGTTGTAGATGTTTGGTGTTTCTTCTGGGGTCTCTGTTCTGTTCCATTGGTCTATGTCTCTGTTTTGGTACCAATACCATGCTGTTTTGATTACTGTAGCCTTGTAGTATAGTTTGAAGTCTGGCAGTGTGATGCCTCTGGCTTTGTTCTTTTTGCTTAAGAATGTCTTGGCTATGTGGGGTCTTTTGTGATTCCATATGAAGTTTAAAGTAGTTTTTTCCAGTTCTGTGAAGAAGGTCATTGGTAGCTTGATGGGGATAGCATTGAATCTATAGATTACTTTGGGCAGTATGGCCATTTTCATGATACTGATTCTTCCTAACCATGAACATGGAATGTTTCTCCATCTGTTTGTTTCCTCTCTTATTTCGTTGAGCAGTGGTTTGTAGTTCTCCTTGAAGAGGTCATTTACATCCTTTGTTAGTTGTATTCCTAGGCATTTTATTCTCTTTTTAGCAATTATGAATGGGAGTTTGCTCTTGATTTGGCTCTCTGTTTGTCTATTATTGGTATATAGGAATATTTGTGATTTTTGCACATTGATTTTGTATCCTAAGACTTTGCTGAAGTTGCTTATCAGTTTGAGAAGATTTTGGGATGAGACGATGGGGTCTTCTAGATATACAATCATGTCATCTGCAAATAGAGACAGTTTGACTTCCTCCTTTCCTAATCAAATACTCTTTATTTCTTTTTCTTGCCTAATTTCTCTCGCTAGAACTTCCAATACTATGTTGAATAGGAGTGGTGAGAGAGGGCATCCTTGTCTAGTGCCTGATTTCAAAGGGAATTCTTCCAGCTTCTGCCCGTTCAGTATGATATTGGCTGTAAGTTTGTCATATATAGCTTTTATCATTTTATGATACATTCCATCAAAACCTAGTTTATTGAGAGTTTTTAGCACGAAGGACTGTTGAATTTTATCGAAGGCCTTCTCTGCATCTATTGAGATAATCGTATGGTTTTTGTCTTTGGTTCCATTTATGTGATGGATTACATTTATGGATTTGCGTATGTTGATCCAGTCGTGCATCCCCAGGAGGAAGCCTACTTGATTGTGATGAATAAGCTTCTTAATGTGCTGTTGCAATCTGTTTGCCAATAGTTTATTGAAGATTTTTGCGTTGATGTTTATCATAGATATTGGCCTGAAGTATTCTTTTTTAGTTGGGTCTCTGCCAGGTTTTGGTATCAGGATGGTGTTGGTCTCATAAAATAAGTTAAGAAGGATTCTTTCCTTTTGTATTGTTTGATACAGTTTCAGAAGGAATGGAACCAGCTCCTCTTTGTACATCTGGTAGAATTCGACTGTGAAGCCATCTGGACCTGGACTTTTTTTGGTTGGTAGGCTATTGATTGCTGCTTCTACTTCAGCCCTTGTTATTGGTCTATTCAGGCTTTCAGCTTCCTCCTGGTTTAGTTTTGGTAGAGTACAAGTGTCTAGGAATTTATCCATTTCTTACTGGTTTACTGGTTTATGTGAGTAGAGCTGTTTGTAGTAATCTCTGATGGTAGTTTGTATTTCTGTGGGATCATTGGTGATATCCCCTTTATCGTTTTTTATTGCATCTATTTGATTCTTCTCCCCGCCTTTTTTTTTGTTTTTAATCTGGCTAGTGGTCTATTTTGCTGATCTTTTAAAAAAACCAGCTCCTGGATTTATTCATTTTTTTGAAGGGTTTTTCGTGTATCTTCTTCAGTTCTGCTCTGATCTTAGTTATCTCTTGTCTTCTGCTAGCTTTTGAGTTTTTTGATCTTGCTCCTCTATTTCTTTCAATTTTGATGATAGGGTGTTGATTTTAGACCTTTCCTCTCTTCTCTGGTGGGCAATTATGGCTATAAATTTCCCTTTCAATACTGCTTTAAAGGTGTCCCAGAGATTCTGCTAAGTTGTGCTTTCATTCTGGTTGGTTTTGAAGAACATCTTTATTTCTGCTTCATTTCATCGTTTATCTAGTCAACATTCAGAGGCAAGTTGTTCAGTTTCTAAGTGGCTGTGTGGGTTTAAGTGTGTTTCTTGATCCTGACTTCTAGTCTGATTGTGCTATGGTCTGATAGACTGTTTGTTATGATTTATGTTCTTTTGCATTTGCTGAGGTGTGATTTGTTTCCAATGATGTGGTCAATTTTAGAGTAAGTGCAATGTGGTGCTGAGAAAAATGTATATTCTGTGGATTTGGGATGGAGTGTTCTGTATATGTTTATTAGATCCACTTGGTCCAGCTCTGCATTCAAGTCTTGGATATCCTTGTTCATTTTCTGTCTTGTTGATCTGAATATTATTGACAGTGGAGTATTGAAGTCTCCCATTATTATTGTGTGGGAGTCTAAATCTCATTTTAGGTCATTAAGAATTTGCTTCATGTATCTGGGTGCTCCTGTGTTGGGGGCATATATATTTAGGATAGTTAGCTCTTCCTGTTGGATTGATCCTTTTACCATTATGTAATGTCCTTCTTTGTCTCTTTTGATCTTTGTTGGTTTGAAGTCCATTTTATCAGAGACTAGGATTGTAACCCCTGCTTTATTTGTTATCCATTTGCTTGGTAAACCTTCTTCCATCTCTTTATTTTGAGTTTATGCTTGTCTTTGTATGTGAGATGGGTTTCTTGAATACAGCACACCGATGGGTTCTGACTTTTTATATAGTTTGCCAGTCTGTGTCTTTTGATTGGGGTATTTAGGCCATTTACATTCAATGTTAACACTGTTATGTGTGAATTTGATCCTGCCATTTTGTTACTGGCTGGTTTTCTTTCTCATTAGTTGACTCATTTTCTTAATTGCATTTTTGGTCTTTGCCAACTGGTTTGCTTTTGCAGTGACTGGTACTTGTTCCTTTCCACACTTAGTGTTTCTTTCAGGAGCTCTTGTAGGGCAGGTCTGGTGGTGACAAAATCTCTCAATAATTCCTTGTCCATAAAGCATTTTATTTCTCCTTCACTTACGAAGCTTACTTCGGCTGGATGAGATTCTGTGTTTAAAGTTCTTTTCTTTAAGGATGTTAAATATTGGCCCCCATTCTCTTCTGGCTTGTACGGTTTCTGCCGAGAAATCTGCTGAGTCTGACTAGCTTCCCTCTATGGGTAACCTGACCTTTCTCTCTGGCTGCTCGTAGCATTTTTCCCTTCATTTAGACCCTGGTGAATCTGAGGATTATGTGCCTTGGGGCTGCTTTTCTTGAGGAATATATTTGTGGACTTCTCTCTATTTCTTGAATTTGAAATTTGAACTGCCTTGCTAGGCTTGGGAAGTTCTCCTGGATAATATCCTGGAGTGTGTTTTCCAGCTTGGATTCATTCTCCGTGTCATAGTCAGGTATACCGATGAAGCATAGATTAGGTTTTTTTCACATAATCTCATTTTTCTTAGAGGCTTTTTTCATTTCTTTTCACTCTTTTTTGTTTTGTATTGCCTTCTCTTTTTATTTCATTAAGTTGATCTTCAATCTCTGATATCCTTTCTCCTGCTCGATCGATTCGGCTATTAAAACTTGTGTTTGCTTCACGTAGTTCTCGTGCTGTGTTTTTCAACTCCATCAAGTCGTTTATGTTCTTCTCTAAGCTGGTTATTCCAGTTATCATTTCGTCTAACCTTTTTTCACGGTTTTTGGTTTCTTTGCATTGAGTTAGAATGTGTTCCTTTAGCTCTGAAAAGTTTGTTATTATCCACCTTCTGAATCCTGTTTCCGTCAATTCTTCGCACTCCTTCTTGGTCAAGTTGTAATCCTGTGTTTTTGAGGAGTGTGATCCCTTGAAGAAGAAGAGGTATTCTGGTCTTTGATAGTTTCACCTTTTTTGTGCTGGTTTTTTCCCATCTTTGTGGATTTACCTGGCTGTGGTGTCAGAGAGCTGCTTGATGAGGTCGCTTGTCTGCTGTGGGGGCACTACTGGGTTTCTAGGGACTTCTTCAGGTTACTAGGGAAGCTTCCTATGTCTTTTTTGTTTATCCTGGGAGATTAGGCTTGCCTCTTCTGCTGACCTATAGGCGCTGCTGGGTTGTCAAGAACACTGTCCCTTTGCTATGTAGGCTTCCTGTGATTTTTGTTAAAATATGTAGCCTAGTCCCATCCCTCTAGTGGTGGGTTGGGCCCTTCCTCCACTGGGCTGTATCATTCAGGGTTCATCTCAGACTGTGGCACTAGCTACTCAACCCACTACAGTCAGAGTTTCAGCTGGGGTTGGTGATAGAACCAATGCCCCCACTTCTTTTTTATGTCTTTATTTTTAATAATCTAAAGTGAAAAATTAGCAATGATTTAGAGGAAACAAGTTAGTATACAGAGGTGAATTTGCAGTAGTTTATTGCATACTATTAAAAGCCCTACACAAAAGCCCTACAATATCAAACATAAATCTGCTTCTGTCATTTTAAGAATTTATTCCCCTCCACTGCTTAGAGCAACTACAGTCCATCTTTGATGTTGGGCATATTTTTAAAAAGTACTGCTTATATATAAAAGAGTCCTGAGCCAACACATAGAACTTAATTTATATAACCAACAGGAATGTTTTGATGAGTTTTCAAATTAAAAACAGTAACATTTAAAGATGCATAATGGCAAACCTGTTTCCAAGGAATTCTTCATTGCAAAACATACAAATGCCATGAAAATTGTTATCATTTCGTTCTTGCTGCTGTTGTTCCAGAATTTCTTTCTGGAAAGTAGAAACAGATTTATGGTATTATCTTAATGCACAGTTGGCTAATAAAAAATGTCTAAGTCTGGATGGAGGGCAACTAGGCTGGAAGCATAAAGGAAGTATATAAAAGTTGTCAACGTTTCAAATTTCTCTATTCCTGTTTTTGCATTAAACTCTAAGTCTGTATCACACAATGCTTACAGAACATTCCACTTGAACAGCTACGTGGAAAATAAAGTCAACAAGGTTTTACCATCCTTTGCTACCCTGTCTTTTCCAGTGTTCTCCCATCCTTACCCTCTTCCAAAACCAAAACTGTGGTTAGATCTTTGATTTGCTCCTCTCCCTAATTCTCAGTTTAATTTGTAATCAAATTCTGATCAATTTTTCACTTGATTCACTTGATTTTTCGATATAACTGTTCTCTACCATTCCCAAGGTCACCCTCCAGTTTGGTTTGTATTCAGTCATTGTGGGTTACTATAAATAAAGTCTCCTAAGGGGTCTCCCTGATTTCAATCACTTTTCCATCATATTCATCCTCTTTTTGCTGCTAGAATTTTTCTTAATACTTTCATGCATAATTAATTTGCTGCACCTCAACTCAAAATTTTAAAAATGCTCTGGTAATATCCTGCTATAATCAAGGTGGTTCCATAGGTTATTTTTCCTGAGGTCATTTTATTTCCTTTTTTTTTTCACTTTTACAAATCTTATCTGTTCATTAAGATTCTACTTGATTCCTGCTTCTACCATGCAACCATTTCTGACCACAGTACAGCAGTTAACAGCTTAGCCTCTGAAACATGGAGCAAATCTGGATTTGAAATATGGCTCTCACATATAATTGATATTTATTGTCTTTAATCCTCTGTTTTTTCATTTTTTTAAATTATACATTAAGTTCTGAGATACATTTGCAGAACGTGCAGGTTTGTTACACAGGTATACATGTGAGATGGTGGTTTGCTGCACCCATCAACCCATCATCTACATTAGGTATTTCTCCTAATGCTCACCCTCCCCTAGCCCCTCACCCTCGACAGGCCCTGGTGTGTGATGTTCCTCTCCCTGTGTCCATCTGTTCTCATTGTTCAACTCCCACTTATGAGTGAGAACATGCAGTGCTTGGTTTTCTGTTCCTGTGTTAGTTTGCTCAGAATGATGGTTTCCAGCCTCATCTGTGTCCCTACAAAGGACAAAAACTCATCTTTTTTATGGCTGCAGAATATTCCATGGTGTATATATGCCACATTTTCTTTATCCAGTCTAGCATTGATGGGCATTTGGGTTGGTTCCAATTCTCTGCTATTGTGAACAATGCCGCAATAAATATTTGTGTGAATGTGTCTTTACAGTAGAATTATTTATAAGCCTTTGGATATATACCCAGTAATGGGATTGCTGGGTCAAATGGTATTTCTGGTTCTAGATCCTTGAGGAATCACCACACTGTTTTCCACAATGGTTGAACTAATTCATACTCCCACTAACAGTGTAAAAGCATAAAAACCCTAGAAGAAAACCTAGGCAATACCACTCAGGACATAGGCATGGTCAAAGACTTCATGATTAAAACACCAAAAGCAATGTTCACAAAAGCCGAAATTGACAAAAGGGATTTAATTAAACTAAAGAGCTTCTGCATAGCAAAAGAAACTATCATCAGAGTGAACAGGCAACTACAGAATGGGAGAATATTTTCGCAATGTATCCATCTGACAAAGGGCTTATATCCAGAATCTATACGGAACTTAAATTTACAAGAAAAAAAACAACCCCATCAAAATGTGGGCAAATGATATGAACAGAAACTTCTCAAAAGATGACATCTGCACAGTCAAGAAACATAAGAAAAAAAACCCCATCAAAAAGTGAGGGAAAGAAATTAACACACTTCTCAAAAGAAGATGATTTTTCCAGTGTCTCCCTATTAATATATTCTATTTCTACTAACTACATCTCTAGTAAGATTTTCTTTCTGACCAATATTGTATAGAACTGCTTTTTACAACATGCAGCTGAAGAAGATCTCATGAAACTATCTACTGACTCCCTATAGGAGATGTTAGTGGGTATGTTTAAAGCTACGTAGCTACTTGGTACGAAATTTGGTGCTATTTTCATGATACCACATTTACTTTTTTCTCAGAAGGTACCCACTGTAGCATATGCAGATATAGAGCTTAAAACAATGACCTTCCCATTTAGTGAACAAACAACTTCAGAATCCAGGGGACAGTGACCTGGAGTAGGGCAGTGTTGAAATCTTTCTTACAAAATACCCATACAGAAGTCTCATGGAGATGAGTTAAATATAAATGAGCTGCTCAGCATTTGAGGCTTAAGACACACTAAAATAACAGCCATTTTAGTGTGTCCTAAGCCCTGAATGTGGAGCAGCTCATTTATATTGAACCATAATATATGCAAATATGATTATTCCTCATTTTTAGCTTAATTGGAAAAAGAGGAATTCTAGATAAGTAGATTTTCTAGATCACAGAAATTTTAGTTTGATATTTGAAGGGTTAAGTTTTGTATAAGATGGTTTCTAAGACAATTCTTATGTTTTTCTGCATTCCAAATTCAAGACATAATTTAACCTGTTCTATATGATACAGGGTCTTTGCTGTGAACAATTACTACCAGACTATATTGTAATACAAATGTATTTTACTTTAAGGATCACTTTGTAAATGACTCCAAACTGTTGTGCTCTTTTGGTTTAATTTTATTCTCTCTTTTATGGCCATCTATGTTTATCTCCCTTTATTCACTGAAGCTTTTCATCCCTATTAGTGGTTCTACTTCTACACCCACCAACTGGTTTCCCCATCTACACCTCCTTTCCATTTGCTATCCTCTGTTTAGATCTTCTGTTCTTTCTTTTAACCTAGAAAAAAATTATAGGGACAGTTAGGGACTCCCAAAACTCAGCTAAGGAGAAACAGATCATCAAATTCTTTTTTTTTGAGACGGAGTTTCGCCCTTGTTACCCAGGCTGGAGTGCAATGGTGCTATCTTGGCTCACCGCAACCTCTGCCTCCTGGGTTCAGGCAATTCTCCTGCCTCAGCCTCCTGAGTAGCTGGGATTACAGGCATGCGCCACCATGACCAGCTAATTTTTTGTATTTTTAGTAGAGACGGTGTTTCACCATGTTGACCAGGATGGTCTCGATCTGTTGACCTCGTGATCCACCCGCCTTGGCCTCCCAAAGTGCTGGGATTACAGGCTTGAGCCACCGCGCCCCGCCTTAGATCATCAAATTCTAAGAATAAAATTAACTCATATATGTTTGGTACCTAAGAAAAAGTAGCTCCTAGTATCTTCCTTGATGAGCTGCAGGGGAATTATTTTTATCTGGTAAGGTTTGTCTCTTATTACTGGGTTCTCTACAATTTGGATATACTGAGCTTACCAGATACCAGATAGATGGATTTATAGGAAAGACTTTCCCTGTACATATATTTTAAAAGTATGTTTATCTGATGCATTCTCAGAGGAATGGAAGACAAAATCTGACTATAAATGGACCTGTAAAAAATTAAACTGCAAATATGTAATGACATTATCTGGAAATAAAACAAAAACTGGTAATCAATAAAATCTCAAGTAATACCTTAATGGCTCCTTGTTTTCTATTGAATAAAATCCACAGTATGTAGCATGGCATTCACAATGCTCTGTACCTGATTCCAACCTAGGTTTTTTTGGTTTTTTTCTTTACAGACAGGGTCTCATTCTGTCACCCAGGCTGGAGTGCAGTGGCACGATCCATGGCTCACTGCATTCTCAATTTCCTGGGTTCAAGCGATCCTCCCACCTCAGTGTCCTGAGTAGCTAGACTACAGGCACACATCACTATGCCTGGTTAATTTTCTGTATTTTGTTTTGTAGAGACAGGGTGGGTTTCTCTATGCTGTCCAGGCTGGATTCAAACACCTGGGCACAAGTGGACAGGCTGGCCTCAAACACCTGGGCACAAGCAATCCACCTGCCTCAGCCTCCCAAAATGTTGGGCTTTAGGTGTGAGCCTCTGTGCCTGGCCTCTAACCTAGGTTTTTAAGTCTTCTCTCACATTCTTTCCCCATATAACCCTATGTTATAGGGTAAAGCAAGAACTCATGCTGTAATTTACCTGTGTTATTTTTCTCAATAGCAGCTCTCAACTACCTACTGTGATTTCTGATGCCACTCAATGGCCTGGAGTAATCGTTCCCTCTTTCGCCCATCTTTGCCTATTCAAGGGTCAGTTCAAATGCTGTATCTCTGTGGTGAGTGGAAAGAACAATGGCCTGACACTTAGGAGTTCTGTATTCCTGTCTGGTTTTTGTGATGAAGTACTTCTTAGTATGCCACTTCCCAGAACTCAGTTTCTGGTGATCTCTAAATTGCCTGTGAAACATTCTACAAATCATTAAAGTGACTTTCCCAGACTGCTTTTGTATTAGAAGTGATACTTCCTTTTTTAAATCACAGTTTTACAGCATTCAATTGGCATCTACAAAGCTTGGTCTTCAGGAAAACTGCATCCCAACCATCACTACTCACAGAAAATGAGCTCCTATATGCCATATGCACACACTTTCTTATAGTAGATTCTCATTAAATACATAATGACTAAATTTATACTCCAGGTGCAACAACATAAACACAAATCTATGTGCTCTACTGAAAATCAAAATGGCTTTCGCAAAAAAAAAAGGGGTTTATAACACAGTTGATTATCCTTTACTGACATATAGGTGGTGCTTATTATTTAGTTTATATTTCATTTATAAAGTAAAATGAGTTTCCCACAGCAACAGTAAGTTGATAATTTGTTTAAATAAAGAGAATGGTCTACTGAATAAGTAAGCTATTCTAAGAAATTTATTATGATGATTTTTTAAAATCCTAAAGTTTTTTTCTAAACTTAAAATGGATAATTTTTATAAAATATATACAGAGATATACAGAGAATTTTACTTGGTATATGAGTAGAGCTTTGGGGATAGGTTTTTACTTTTAA